ACATACTGTTCCCTCTGTTCTTTCTCATCCTCTCTAATGAAAATTCACAATCATCCTTTTGAGAATGTTTCAGCTTCTCAGTAAAATAGCTTCCTATGACTCCAGTGAATTTTAGTCACTTCCTTGTCTGTGCTTTTATAAGTCTTTGTACATGTCTCTATAATAATATCTGTCACATGATATGGGCAGAGGATCTGAACACAGTTCTCCAAAGAAGAAATTCAGATGGCCAACAGGTAAATGAAAAGATGCTCCACATCACTAATCATCAGAGAAATGTAAATTAAAACCACAATGAGATATCACCTTACACCAGTTAGGATGGCCACCATCCAAAAATCAAACAACAGATGTTGGTGAGGATGTGGAGAAAGGGGAACCCTCCTACACTGCTGGTGAGAAAGTAAATTAGTTCAACCATTGCAGAAAGCAATATGGAGGTTCCTCAGAAAACTCAAAATAGAAATACCATTTGGAATTCCACTCCTATGAATTTACCCTAAGAATGTAGGAGCCCAGTTTGAAAAAGACATATGTACCCCTATGTTTATCACAGCACTATTTACAATAGCCAAGAAATGGAAGTAACCTAAGTATCCATCAGTAGATGAATGGACAAAGAAGATGTGGTACGTATACACAATGGAATATTATTCAGTCATAAGAAGAAAATAAATCCTACCATTTGCAACAACATGGATGGAGCTAGAGGGTATTATGCTCAGTGAAATAAGCTAGGTGGAGAAAAACAAGTACCAAATAATTTCACTCATTTGTGGAGTATAAGAACAAAGTAAAAACTGAAGGAACAAAACAGCAGCAGACTCACAGAACCCAAGAATAGACTAACAGTTACCAAAATGGAAGGGACTGGAGACGATGGGTGGGAAGGGAGGGATAAGGGGAATAAGGGGCATTATGATTAGCATACATAATGTGGGGGGGGCCACAGGGAAGGCAGTACAACACAGAGAAGACAAGTAGTGATTCTATAGCATCTTACTACACTGAAGGACAGTGACTGTAAGGGGTATGTGGTGGGGACTTGATAATGGGGGGAATCTAGTAATCACAATGGTGCTCATGTAATTGTATATTAGTGATACCAAAAATTTAAAAAATATGTCTGTCACATGACATTGTAATTACGTGTCAAATTTGAGGGCAGAGATCATGTCCTCCATCATCTATTGATTAGCATAGCCCCTGGCAGAGAGTAGATACTTAATGCATTCTTTGAATGAACATTGTCTAAATTGTTTGCTTTATTTTTCTGTAAAACCAGTTTAACACGGTGGTTGTCTTCAATATGAAAGTTTATTCTTAAATACTTATAATGGAAAGACAGTGAAGGCACTAATTGCATCACCTTGGGAGGCTGTCAGTTATGTCAACTTTACCCAAAGAGTGGGGAAAATCTATAATTTAAAATGTTATACATGGCTTTGTTATAAAAATGAAAAACGTGTTTATAAAACTATTTGCATTTCCAATTCTCCTTCCTCTCAACAGAGTATAACAAAAAATGATACCTAAATATAATGTGTAGACTGCATCAGGAGAGGTCTTTAAAAAATCAAAACAATGGATGTTCACAGTTGAAAGGGATCTCTTGATTCAACCCTCCGCTATGAATCTAATATCCCTGATAAAGACTCATCTAGCTTCTACATGAACACTTTCAGTGATGGGGAACTCCCTACTTAAAAAGTTATTTGATTCATTTTGACAGTTATAATATTCAAGTTGAGACCAAACATGCCTCCTTGTAATGTTTAACCACTGAACACAGTCCTTCCCTATTGAACTATAAAAAATGTCTTCCTCCTTATGTAGTCCTGACAGAATTCAAAACAGCTATATAGTCATCCCAAGCCTTTTCTTTTCCAGACTTTTCCAGTTTCACTGAGCTGCTTCTCATATGTCATGTTTTTCAACATTTTCAACAATCTGGTTCATACCCTCCAGACATGTTGCAGTTTTTCCCTAGCGCTTCTAAAATGGAGTCTGGACATCTACTCTAAGTGAGATTTTCCCAGTGTAGAAAATTTCATAGAGCAGGTCTAACATATTTCTCATTCTAGACTCTGACAAGTACTTTTCAAACCTGGACTTTGAATCTTAACTGGCCAAGTAAGATGTGGAGTCAAACCATGCCAGTGGTAGCAGGTAATGGGGATAACATGAACGCTGGATAGGACTAGAGCTAAGAGAACTGATCTAATTCTGAGACTTTAGTTGGGCACCAAGATGCCTAAATGAACCCTAATATACCAAGGGCATTCAAGGGCATATCTGTTTGAATCTGATAGCTGGAGACCAGGCTGTAGCAACATTTGACATCAGACAGGTGGCAGCATCATGCCTCCAATAGGTTTTGGAGCAGGCCCTCAATCATCAGCTGGGGAATGTGAGAATCAAGACCCAACCCTTGGGCAAAGAGGCTGCAAAAGGCTAGGCAAATTAAAGTCAAGAAGACTGGAGTTCAGCGAAGGGACACTGAAATCCATCTTCTCCACTTTCCAAACCTCAATTTCCTCTTGTGGAAGTGGAGCTGATTATAGTATTTACTTTAAAGGATTGTGGTGAAGTCTTAATGAGATAATAAATTCAAAGTCTATCATAGACTTTGTGCGTATCAAATGTTTGTATTGCAAATTAAAATGCATAAATAAAATGGAAGTTAAATGAATTTTAAAATAATTTCACTTATAGAGCCTTTAAATTAACTGTGCACTAAGGGCATTTTCTCAAAATATTTTCAAGATTTCTTTTAAGAAAAGCACTATATCTATTTTTGAAAGATGACCAAAAATAATATGGATTGGTTGAAAGTGACTTGTAAAGAATAGCATAGTACAATTCATTATAATTCTCATAATAATTGTACCAATTGTAGGGTTACAACAAATATGGTTATTTTCAGATTTTACTTTCAAGTAAAATGATGACTTTATGATAAATCTTTGAAATCAGTCTTTTTATAACATAAATTCATTAACCCAGTAAGAATTGTAATTCAATAGTTATTAGAACTCCTTGCATAAACTCTTTTCCCAACCACACACTATTTTCTTTTTAATATCCAATTATCTAAAATTTAAGAGGAATGGGCACCGCCCAATGGGGGTGTGTGTGTGTTGCTCTGATCCTATGGTGACAGTCCAGAGAACTGGGAGTGACATCATCTGTAACAAAAAAAGCTTCTCTTGGTGGATGGAAGACCTATATATATGTCACATTTAAGGGTCTACAGTCCATCAGCTTTCCCAAGTTTACTCAACTTTAAACGAAGCATCAGCTGCTAATACACCTGACCGAAGATCTTGTCCTAAAACATTGTGTGGTGAGTAATCTTTATTTTCTTCCCTAAATTCTGTGAGTTTTTTCTTTTTTAATAATCAAGCTATTACTTAATGTGCACTATTTCCCACAAATACCATGCTGTTTGTTCAAGGTAAAATGTTCAGGGAGGGTTTGAATCATGTTTAATATAAAATAACCACAATACAAAAATAAGTATATGTTACTAAGTTACTCTTAAGTCATTATTTGTGATTAAAGTTTTTTGAGATCCCTTGCTTTTTCTACTCATTTGAAATTACAAGAAAAATAATTAAAATTTTTCATGATATACTTTAATAGTATCTTGTTGAAATTTTGAAATAAAACAGCTTAATGAGGAATGAATAATTCTGATTTAAATAATCAAAATAAATTTATTGAGTTATATTTCCATTTTTCCTGCAGAATATCTTTATCTAGATTGTTTTATGACTCATAGAGAGCTCAATCTGCATACTGTAGTTGGAGAAATTCAATTTACATGAAACCTTTTCTAATTTTCTATCCTGAAATTGTGTATGAATTTTAAGGGTGTTTTACAACTGTTTTTCAGCTTTCTCATTACATCCTTGTAAGAAGCTCATCTCTTTATTAAGAACAAGGAAGTAAATAGGTGATTGTGACAAAGCTAGGATTAGACACCAATGTTCCCATCCTCTAGCTACAGTGTCTGTTTCTAACATGTTAAAATTGAAGAATATTCATTTGTTGTTCCATCAATAGCTTGATATTGCACAGTGAAAATTAATGTAGTAAATTATAATGTTTCTTATGTTACTTTAAAATGTTCTGTATTTATTTTAAATAAGTATATATATTTTAAATACTTTTGTTTCCCTTTAAAATATGAACACATAGCCAGCCACCCTCCATGAACGTTAAAATGGAGAACATTGAATATTAACAAAAAGCATTTCTATAATAATAGGTTTTGCAATTATTGAACTGCAGATTAAATTAAAACTATTCTGAGATGAAAAGCTTTATGAGCAAAAGAGGAAAGTGCTAATAATTATACTGAAATAAAATTGTTAATAAAATACATGAGCATTTTATATGGAATCAAAGCACTAAATTGATATAAAAAGTAATTAATTAGATGATTTTTCAATACTTCCTAATGGTAGAAGAATTCATTAATTCAGTAAAAATCTCTAAATCAGACCCTACTAATTGGATATTTATGGTTATTTGTGTAGTATCTGAAATGAAGTTGACTTATGAAAGAAAAATTTCTAAGTAGTGTCAAAAATTTATTTTATTAAGAGAATTAGCCATTTTTAAGGAAATTATAAGCATTTAGTCATAGCTAACATAAAATGTAAGAGGAAATTTTGAAAAGTAAGCTTTTTCATTCCTCATTTGCTTAAAATTCATGTATTAAAATTTGCACAAGAACTCTCAGAGATACCTACCAAAGTAAAACAAATTTAATATCTAAGTAAAATTTGTGTATATATAATACAGACAAATGTTTCTGCAAAATAAAGGTACTCATTCCAAAAGTCTCTCATGAAAACCAATCCAATTAGTTATGCTAATATTCTGTTGCAGTTTTATGGTTATAAATGTAACTACTATAAATTTTGATTGTATAGTTTGGAATATTAAAGATATTTTTTAAAACTTCCATTTTGCTTTTCCTTTTAGTGAAGATGATGTCTGCAAAAGGCATGATTAAAGTAATGATCATCATGTTTGCAATTTGTTTTCTTGCAAAATCAGATGGGAAACCTGCTAAGTAAGTACTGTAGCCAGTTCTGCACTGTGAGGGCATGGGGATTGGATTTTTAAGACTGGCTTTATGATTTGGAAGAGGGGAACTAATGGAGGGTCCTCTGTCTTTCTGTTTCCTCCAGGAAAAGATCTGTGAGTGAAATACAATTTATGCATAATCTGGGGAAACACCTGAACTCGATGGAAAGGGTAGAATGGCTGCGGAAGAAGCTGCAGGATGTGCACAATTTTATTGCCCTTGGAGCTCCTATAGCTCACAGAGATGGTGCTTCCCAGAGGCCCCCCAAAAAAGAAGACAATGTCCTGGTTGAGAGTAATGAAAAAAGTCTTGGAGAAGCAGACAAAGCTGATGTGGATGTATTAATTAAAGCTAAATCCCAGTGAAAATAGATATATCAGAGCACTGTTTTAGACAGTGTGAGGCAACAATATTACATGCTGCTAATGTTTTCAAGCTGTATTAAGATTACCAAGTGCCCATATTTCTAACATTATCAGACTTTACATATGATCCATTGTTAGCCCTGATATCTGCAATTTTAATTGATTGTTTTGATTCTACTTTTATTCATTTAAGAGCTCTTTTAATTATTCTAATTCTATTGTTCATTCTTTTTAAAGTATGTTATTGCATAATTTATAAAAGAATAAAACACTTCTTAATCTCCCATTTCACAGTGCAAAATAAAAATTTAATAGTCATGATTCTAAATAATTGAAGTATTTCTCACTTGTTATAAGAATGCCTTTCTGGTTATGAGTAGCACCATTATGTTTAAGTTGATTGTGACTATGAAGAAGAACAAAAAATATTTTTAAATCATTTTATCAGTGTTTCACATTCTGATATTTTGGACATCTTCCTTTTAATATTACCAAAGTACCAGGTCCCCAAATCCTTACTAGCTAGATACTATTTGTCCTCCTCATTTCACGAAAGGAAACAAAATGTCCAGCAGGAAAAGGCAGTAAGTGGTCTGAAACTTAAATGCAAAAGCATTTGCCCCTACACAACCCACTGATCTTATTTCTAGTCTGAACTCCGAATCACAAAGAATGGAATTTTTGTGTTTATTAGAATATAACTTCATTCATTTGTCATTTGACCAATACCTATTTAGTGTCCATTATTTGTCACATACCATATTAGGCACTGGGCATACTCTAATAAGCAAAATGATCACAGTTCCTATCTTAAATGGACCTACAGTTCCTATCTTAATTGCACCTACAATTTAGTAGGAGACAGACATAAATCATTATTAACTTTGTTAAGTACTATGAAAGAAAAGTACAAGAGTGTAAAATACAGAGCCCTGGTCTACTTCAGTCAATGATGTCCAATAGAACTTTGTGTGATGATGGAAATGCTCTCTATTCCTGCCAATACAGTAGCCACATGTGCATTTAAAATGTGGCTTGTGTCACTGATGATTGAATAAGGTCTCACTGCTGGCCTGAAAGAGTTCACGTTGTAAAGAGGATGGCAGAGGGGTAAACAAGTAATTACAATATTGTATGTGAAATGCAAAACGTGATACACAGAGAAGGGAACCGATCTGCTTTATGTAGGAAACAACTTATATGGGACTTAAATGTCAAGTAAGTTTTGCAAAATGTAAACTAGAAGAATATTAACAAATTTCTGGCATCCTGGTGGAATCAGTCAGGCTTTTGTTTAAATGTAGAGAACAGAATCTACTTGAGTTAGTTTAAATAGAAAGGTATTCATGACAGAATAATTGAGAATGCTGAAGAAAACAGACAATATGTTACACTTGGAAGAAAGACTCTCAAAGTCACCAAGTGAGCGATTCTCTTCTAATATCAGCACCTGCCTGATAATTATTCTGAGACTGCCTTGGTCAGAAGGTGCTGCTTACTGCTACTGTTCCAGAAACACACTGCACCTGCTATGACCCATCCTAGCAGAAAGGATGGACTGCACCCTGCCTCTTGACATGGGCCTTGATGATGGAATCTGCTGACACCAGCATGTCAAAAGCAAACTCCTACACATAGCACTTTCCAGCAGAAAGGGAGAAGTGACAGAATAGTCTTACTTCTGCTTTCCCAGTTTCACAAGAGTACATATGATTGGCTGAACCTAAATCTTTTAGAACCTTAGATTCAGAGGATTATGGGAAATGTAGTTTTTAGTTTTCCAGCCTATCGAATACAGGATATCTAACTCTAACACCTAAAGTTCTTGAGGGTGGTATGGACAGTGCTTCCAACGTCCTGGTAGTATCATGCCTCAATTATTATTGTTGAACATGTTCCCTGATGAGAATTTCTTTGGAATTTTTACCCAGGAGTAGAATCATAATACATAAACAAGCTTTCCAAGACTGTTTGTGGAACAGAAGTACAGTTTATACTCCTACCAGCAGAGCTAAGCATTTGTCTCCTCATTTCTGCCTACAATTATAAATATATGCCTTTATAACAAGTTTTGCCATTTTGATGTCAAGTGGTACCTCACTGTTTTGATTGGTATCTCTCTGATTACTAGTGAAATCAGACTTTCTACATGTTGATCATTTGGGCTTCCCTCCTTGTGAACTGTTTATTTACATCCTTTGACAACTTTTCATTGTTTTTTGGCTCTGTTAATTTTGAGTGCTTTGCATATGCTAATATAAATTCCCTTTTGGTTTTAAATGTTAAATATTTCTCTCAGTGTATCATGTATTTACTAACTCTATGCTTAATTTTGGTGGATGCAGATACATCGAATTTTCACCTTATTGTTTGTATTAGCATTCTTATTGAAGAAGTCTTTCTCAATCCTAGGTCACAAAGTTATCTCTTACCTCTGCTTAGTTTTACCTTTTATTTTTAGGTAAATCAGCCTCTGGAGTCTATAGTAAATGTATAGCAAAATGTTATGTTTGAACTTCATTATTTTTTTATATGGATCATCAGTTTTCCAAATGACATCTATCAAAAAATTCTTTACTTCCCCCTAGCTTTGTAGATACATTTAAAAAATCACATCAAGTTCCCATATAAACATAGGTTTATGTTTCTCTTTTGTTTCATTTTTAGGGAGTTAAAAGTTATTTTATTGGGGCCTTTGAATCAACTTCCAGTCCATGAAGGTCAGTCATAGACGGGGCCCACAAATCACTCTTCCCAGATTTTCCCTCCATTTCTTGACTTAACTGTTGGATACTGTATCCCTCTGAATGTCTCCAGCCTGATAATTCTTCTCCCTCTGTGGCCCATACACAGGAAACCTTCCTTTCCAAATCCTCAGGGATTAAGCTTGTGAAGAGCCAATCCCAGCTCTTCAGAACTCTATAGAAACAAGTTCTTGGTTCCATCTTGAAGCAGTAGTTCATGGATGTGGCCTCCAGGAAACATGCTAGAGGAAGAACAACCTGCCCCTAAACTGTGGGCCTCTTGGGTCTAGTTCAACTTCATCCCTAGCAAAGCCTAGTATTTAGAATAAAGTCAAGTTTTCAAATCAATGATTTATTTTTGGAATTCTTATCCTAAGGCTTTCTTTCCAGTAAAACAAACTGAAGGTTTTCTCAAGCATATGAACTCCTAGTAATATCAGAAGAGCTCAACAGGGTAGGATCTATCAGTTTCACCCCATATACTCTTCTTTTTGGATAAAGATCATATGTCTCCTTGAGTGGACTATGGCCAAACTGCAACATCTGTAGCTTCCTTGGCACAGATCTTCATGGGCTGCCCTGTCTCACCTTCTCTTGGGATCTCAGGACAGAGGCTCTGGGGGTAGATACATGTGTGTGTATAAATGAAACCATCAGTGCCATTGAAAAGTGAAATGGCTTTCATGTCATCATCCAGGAACGTTCCCATCTCTGCAAGTTTGGGTTTCATGTGGATAACAGCACCAGTTTCTGTGCCGATAGTGACATCAAGTCTCCCCTTGAGGCTTACAACCCCAAACACTAGATCTGAAGATAGCAGGAAAGGTCTTTCATGATATGCAGATTCCTGTAAATATACACAACAATTCCAGTGCTCTTCCAACTTCCACCTCCCAATAGTGGCAGCCAGAGTTGAAGCAGGAGGACCCCAGGACACATGAATGTTTTGGTATTCTTTAGTGGTCTGTCTGGACCTACCCATATCCAACGCTCTGCAGGTCATTAAGAGAATGTGAGGAAGTCATTGGCTGTGGCTGGATCTAGAGTCATATTCACAAAGAATCTCTGCATTCAGCAGCACACACCCTTCACAGGTATCATCACTGCTTTCTCAGCCACAAACTCCCAGGGGCATGTTGGTCTGGATTCTCTGGATCCAAGAGATGTCAAGATAGAGAGACAAGTGAAAAGGCTACTCTGATTCTCTCTCCAAATGCCTGAGGCAGATGAAGCAGAGGTCTTGTCTGCAGAATGTCAAACAGGGATTTTGGAAATAGTTCAGCATATAGGACCTGTCAGTTCTTAGAGTTTTTCTGCCATGGCTACCATTTCAATGTGGTTGTCCTTAGTTTTATGCCTCTTTGGCATGTTGGGGAAGGCCCTTGAGAAAACATGACTGCCAACTGAACTGTGAGCTGGACACCAGCAATCCGAGGCTCCTCACCCCCTGCCCTATGCTTGGCATGTGGATTCTGCCTGCCTTCCCTGCTCCCAGAGGCTGCTCAAGGACATAACCTTGAGATGGCGATGTGGTTTTGAGACCATCTAAACTGTGTGTGTGACTGAATTCAGTTAAGGCTTCTATAAAACCTTTTAAGATTTGGTGGTGGTTGTGGAAATCAACTCGTCTTATAGCCACCCAGGTTATGTCTTGTAAGTTAAATTCCCTTCTTATTAAACCTGCCACCTACTAACCTGGTGTGGCCTGACTTTTTCTTTGGTTTTTTCCTACACTTATTTGCGTGGGGGCCAGTTTCAGATTACATCTGGTAAGCTCCTGAGGAGCTTACAGAACAACTTCTTAACTGGATTTTAGATTTCTCATAAAGATATTTTGCTCTGTATATCATTGTTAAATCAGTGTTTCTGTGAAGGGATGAGGGCTGGGACTTCCTATTCCACCATCTTGCTGATGTCATTAACATAGGTTTATTTTGAGCTGTTTATTCTGTTCTATTGATCTGTTTGTATGTTCCTGCAATATAAACTACACACATATTTATCCTTCTCATGGATGTTTATGCTACCATACACTTTTACAATTAGTTTGTTGGGTTCTTTTCTTAAAAAAATCCAACAGCAATTTTCACTGAGATTGTATTAAAATCAATATTAATTTTAGAAAGAATTATTTTTTATAATCCTATTTATCAACAAAGTAATACTCTTCATTTATTCTAATCTCCTTTTGTGACTTTTAAATAGAGTCAAAACATTTTCTCTGGAAAAATCTTATGTACCTTGTTAATTGCTAACTACTGTATAGTTTTGGGGCTATTGGGAAGGATATCTACATTTTTATCATGTTTTCTAGCTATTTTTGATGTAGAGGAATATAGTTCATTTTTATAATTTTATCTTTTTTCCAACAACCCTCCTGGACTCTCCTATTAATTCTAATAGTTTGTCTATTGATTACATTTGCTTTTCTATGTAGATGATATAATCTCAAATAATGAGATTTTCTTTATTATCCCTTTTCTCCCTCTGATTACATGGCCTTTCTTTTTTCATTTCTGATGGTATTATCCAGTACCTTTAACACCATGTTAATGAATGATAATACTGGATTTTTCCTTATCTTGACCTTAAGGGGAGTATGTCCATAATTTCCCAACAAGAGAATGATCTCTAGTACATTGATGACATTCCCTTCTATAACTAGTTTTCTAAGAGTTCTTTTTAAAATTATATAGTTTTTCTGAAATTATAAAAGTGTATTCAACTTCACAAAAAGTAATGTAATTTTTCACTTTTAGTCCATTAATGTGATAAATATTTTTGCATTCCTGGGATAAATCTACTAGATATTAATATGTTGCTACTTTTTAAATTAGTAAAATTTATTGTATATACGGAATCATATATAAAACACATATGTAGATTTTTAAGAACACCCATTACACACTACTCCAATTATGAAATAGAATATTGACAGTACCTTAGAAATTCCTTGTAAGCCCTTCCTTAATCATATCCGCCTTCATCCTTATCTCCTTACTTCTGTATTTATCACTATTCCCTTGCTTTTCACTATAGAAAGTCAAGATTCCTTGATTACATGATAGTCTAATATTGTTTTTTTCAAATGTATGCTGTTGCATAACATGGGCTATGTCTTTCCAGTCTATATCTATTTTCTCACCATCCGCTATGGCTAAGCTCTTGCTCCATAGTTTTAGATTTTTGCTACTTAGCACCTCATTTTAAGGTACTAATTTCTGAATTAGTTAGGTTGAGCAAATTGCTGTAACAAATAGAGCCCAAATGTATAGCCACCTGAATTAAATAGAAGTTTATTACTTGTTCACAAAACATTACTGCAATGTTATGTTACTGGGCAGGTTAACAGGTCAACAGGGTGGCTAAGGACTCAACTTCTACCATGATAACACCAAGGTTGCCCCTTTCCAGTTATCTGGAAGTGAAAGGGGCAGAAATGCCATGTGGGGAGTCCCTGTCTCTATCAACATCCATAATAATCAGAAGCCTCCCATTGGTCTGCTCCATTAAACCTCCATAGCTGCCCTAATCAGGAAATTTTAGGAGGTGTTTCTGACTCTGGGTTTGCATCCATAGGGAAAGCCTTTCTCCCCTGGGTTGGAGTGAATGCCAAAGAACCGTTGACCAGAGATCATTCACCAACATTAGGAGAGCTAACCAATGCAGTAGCAGCCCAAAGTCACTTGACTTTGTTGGCTCAAGTAGTTTTGGACGACTGCATAGCCCTTGGCTACCTGCTTGCTGATCAAGGAGATAATTCTTGTTCTTTCTCTGGAGAGGTAGAAATTCAGTTACACAAGATCAGGAAACAAGCCCATTGGTAACAACAAATTTCACCTAATGACCCTGGTTTTTTGACCTAGTTAGCAGGTTATCTTCAATTTTGGGCTCCTGGCTTATGTCCATCATACAAACTGAATTTGTCGTATTACTTCTGATTCTGTTTTACATAATTATTTTTGTCTGTACCTGTTGCTTGTCAAACTTTTGTCAAAAATGACATACCCAATAGGGTGATGCTAGCTCAGTGCGTCAAAATGATAAATGTTTAGGGAAGAAATGTCTGAGAGTTCTCCCTTCTAAACCTTCCTTTTTGCTCAAATGTGGCGTTAAATAGTTTCCAACTGCTATGTAATTTCCTTCCTTTGTCAAACATGACAACCAGGAAAGGTCCTTCTGGGTCCCAAGAGACAAAAAGACTAAATATGGAAAATCTGACTCTCAATCAGTGATGCTTTCAGAGAAAGATCTTGATCAAAAGGGAAAAATGTGAAGCTTGATAAAGGAAACCTCATTTAAAATGAAGTCAAGAGGCCAGAAAGAGGCCCTTTCACACCCTACAACTCCTCCTCAATTGCAGACCCCATCAGGAAGAGATGTACCTTGCATTCCCAACAGAAAGAAGCCTACTTTACTACTCTAGAATAATGAAGAATTCCTCCTTGCTCAGCCATGAACACTGCCGTAAGAAAATATCAACTCAGTCAGTAAGAAACTGTCACCACCCTGAACTCTTGCTTTTCTTCAATGGTCTTTTGTTTAAAGCAGTCCCTCCCAACTTCCTCCTTTTCTCTGTAAGTAATATTCCTCTCCTTTGATCTCCGGACTTACCTGTGGTTTGCTATAGCTTGCATGTCTTGAACTGCAATTCCTCTATTTCTGAATAAAACCATTATGATGGTCAAATAAGTGGCTGTCACACTTTTAATGTGGACAGTCTATATGCTTAGCTTTATGGCAATACCACACCAACTTGATTCCTGTAACATTGTAGTTAAGTTTTAAATTCTTGAAGTATAAGTTCTTCAACGTTGTTGTTGTTGTTTTTAATACTTTGGGCTATTCTAGAACTTTTGCATTTCTATGTAAACTTTTGGATCAATTTGTCAATCTTCAGAAAAAAAGCCTAATAGGATTTGTCAAAAACTATGAAAGGTCTGAGATATTACCCTATTGCAAGTTAACAAGTTACAGAAAATTCTGCAGACCCCTATTTTAACCTAACATTCTGGGCCCTTAATGTCCCAATTTCCATCTACTTTTCTCACATCACTTCTCATTCATTCTTTTGTTTATTGTTCCCCCTACAAGACACTTAGCCATTTATATGCCTTCGATGATCTCTCTGTAGGAATGCTCTCTCCTACCATCTCTTCATGCATGAATCCTATCTGTTCTTAAGGCTCCAGATCAAACATCCTTCCTTTCCTCTCCCTTTCTTGCTCCTTCTTCATTTCTTCAGTTAAAAGTAGTCTTTCCTATCTCTCACTTCTCATAGCACATTATCTCTATCTCCTTATGTCCCTATTTGTCTTCCTTTTGTTATTTAATTACATGTCTCATTTTTATCAGTAGAACTTGTATATTAATCATGTCTCTCCCTCCCCCAGTATTCTTACACAGGGTCTTGATCAATAAATACATTTGCTGAATAGGGATGGAGTTCTTTTTGTGTGAATGTGATTTTTCCTATTCCTGCCATTAGGTGACAATGCTCAAACCTTGTTGTACAAAAAAACCCCTGGCTTTAAAGTTAAATAGGATTCCAGGCCTTAGATTATCATTATTTTGTTGAGCAAGTATTTAACCAGAAGCTATCTTATCTTCTGCTGTGCAACAGTCTTATCTCAGCATGCTACGAGTTGCAATAATATAGACCAAAGGAACTTGTTTGTCATTACATCTATATGAAACTTTACTTCTGCATCGACCTCTTTGGTGTGTGCATTCATATTATGGAAGACATTAAGTGTCTGAACCTTAGCTCATTCAGTCAGCTAGTTTTTACAAATGACTGTGCACAGCTGTTTGTGATGGTCTGAATCAATGGCATAACCTATGAAAAATACAGCTGCTATCAATGCTCCCAAATTCATATTTGACAGGTCAATTTTCTTTTGAAAGCAAATGACAATAGTAACTTTATTAGATTTTTTTCTTTTCTTTTTTAGAAGGAATAACAGAATGAAATGAACGATAGGCCCTTCAAAGCAAAGTAAGAGGTTTTTTTGTTGCCTGAGGATTTTTTTTTAAAGCTTCTCCATGACAAAATTCCTGTTAGATTGCTCTTCAAAGATTACTGGTAATTTCCAATTTAGCAGAATGTTGGCAATAATATTAAGGTAGCATACTATGACAATAACCTCTCTTTTTCTTGGGTCTCTGAAATCTAAGTGTCCTTAGATGATAAAGAGGATGTTCACTATGCTATATAGTGCAGCTCAGCAGCTCGTCCCCTTAGCACAAACATGGGTTTGGAAAACACTTGGGTAATTACACTTAGCCTGGGAGTGTTTTCTCTTCCTAAATTTAAAGTTTTTCACCACAGTTCTTTCTGTAAAAATCTGTTATCATACCAAATTACTCAAACCAGGTCCTCTTCCTCTTTGCTTCCTTTGCTTGCAACACCCCTCCAAATCTTCTCAAAAGTGGAGAACTCTTACTCATCCTTCAAGAGTCAGCCCAAATGTCGCTCCCTGGTGGAGGATTCCTCAATACGGCAGGCAGAGCCCTTTACTCCCTCTCTGCTCTCACGGCTCACTGCGAGCAACTCGACTTTTATTACTGCATGTGAGATGATCTGTTTTCAGGTGGGACTTGTGTGAGCTTTGAGGATGGAGATCCTGTCTTTGATTTTTTTTCTCGTTTGTACAGTCCAGCTTTTGGCACATGGTAGCCTCAGGAAAGTTGAATGACTGAAACTCGTATTGCTTGTCGACCTCCGCCCGCAAGGAGCAACATCGCTTCCAGGTTACTCTCAACATTCAATAATACGTGGCCCAACTGCAGGAGTTGCAGTTGGTACACCGGTTCCCGCCAACCCAGCGTTTGAAAACAAACAGCGGCGGACGCTGGAGAATAAAGGGCTGCCCTCACGACGACCGCCTTTAATGAACCCAAATTAGTTTAATACCCGCCAGCTGAGCCGGCAGTTTCCCTGAGTAAACTTAAGGTTCGGGAGGTTTTTCTCCAACTCTGGGCTGGAGAAGCTGTCCGCTTTTTTTCTAACGGTGACAGGAAATCGAAGGAAAAATGTGGGATTCAAATGTCTGTGGGTAAGATGGCTCACAGCCATTCAGTTTGAAAGCTCCCTGCTGAACCGGAGCTGAAGAGTGTGAGGACCGCGCCTTCCACAAAACGGCGCCAGCCCCGGGGCCTGACGCCCACCCCAGGCGGCCCCTCCCTCAGGGGCCCACGCTCTCAGCGTCCCGCCCACTCCTGGGCGTTGAGTGGCCATTCTCGCGAGAATTCAGCTATCCTCGCCACCTCGAACTGCGGGCTCTCGCGAGAAGAGGCTTAGGAGCCGGCCTGCAACCTGCCGGAGCGGCTCTCCACCACCTCCCGAGCGGCTTCCACCACGGACACCTCGGAAGGGATCCGGTTGAGGAGGAAGCGGAGGTGTCGCTAGCCCCTGCCTTTGTCTAGCCACCGAGTGGACACTCAAGGGGAACTACAGGTTCGAGGGTGATTAGACTCAGCTGGATCCTCGGTGGGGGCGGTGCCGGAGGCTGGGTTTGGCGGGGGCGAAGGACGAATCTGCGCTTCAGTGGCTGCGGTGGCAGTGGTCTGGGCGTCCTGGACCCTGCTGGGAGACCGTGGGTGGGGTTCTGGCCGCCGGCCCCTGGTACCCAATTCGGAGCGGCCCGGAAGGGACTTGGGTTTCACGGGTGCTGTTTTTGGGTTGGGAGTTCCGAGGCCTTTCCCCAGGGATGAAGGCGACACCCTCATCTCTCCCTCTCCTGGCGGAGTAACCCCTTGCCCCACCCCTTTTCTGTCATCCCCGGACTATCGCAGCGACGTGTTGAGGGCGCTTTACAATAGGGGATAAAGTGACAGGTAGTCTCCCCTTGGATGAAGAGGAGTGAGAGAGACTTCAGTAATGCGTTGTATGGTTTTATGCTGAAACAGTACCAGTATGGTGAAGCTTTGTTTTCCCAAACCTTGCACAGGGAAGCTTTTTATTTTTTTCTTCATGTACAAGTCTTCTCACACCCCTTTTCCTCGGGAATGGGGTGCAGGGAGGGGAGACATCGCTTAGTAATTTGTTAGTGCGGGGACAATGTGACCGTCCCTGGACTTCACAGATTTTCTACTTCTCTTTTCTCCTCCTTATTTTGAGTCCATGACAAGTCATTAGTCCGGATATGCTAAAGATACAACCTCACTTGCTTGTCACTTTGTGCATTTTTTTCATCTTTAAGAACCTTTATGCTTTTTCTCTAAATGCACAGTCTCAGTGAAACAGCACGGTATATTAATTTTATTTGGACAGTTGGGTACACCCTCCACCCCCCCAGATTTGATCAAGACTTTTTAGAGAGGAGATTAGGGATAAATTTTGAATGAAATAGACGGTAGAAATTGGGATAAGAGATACAATAAGAAATGTAGCCTTAACGGCCAAAAAAGTATGTGTACTAAAGAGCCCATCCAGGACTGAAGTCCAAGCCTTGTAAATGAAGACCACAGTTGTCATTTGAATATAAAGTGGAAAGCAGTAAAAAACACTTGGGAAAGGATTTGATGGTGAATTAAGACCGTTACAAAAAAGTGTTTGAGGATAATTATTTTTGTAGGTGTAAATGTATTTCATGTATTTCTCTAACATTTCTCAGAGTTTATGACCTAACTTCCATTGTTACATATAAAAAAGTGGGGAGGGAGATTCTGAAGAATGGAGTGTGGTAGGGAACCATTTAACAGTGTTCAATCTGGAAAGCATTCAACATCTCAGCAGAGTTTTTGAGTTCTTTCACCCTTTTTTTTCTCTCAAAAAAGCTTTCAGGTGGGCTTTTTACCTTCTTTATGTCACCTTCCACAAGTCTGAATTTTTTACTTTCTCACCTGTTCTTCTAAGCCTTGTGATAATTTATTAATTATGAAGTTTGAAACTAATTCTGAATTATGAAACCAGTAAGGTTTGCTTTGTGGCTTTTTATATTTAGGTGATTTAGTGAAGCATGGAGGTGGAAAATATTAGGCACCTTTCAAAGGAATAGGTTATGAATAGCACGCTCACATGACTTCAGGTACTAGGCAGTTGAAAATGAAAAAGAATGAAATGCGCTAGAGAGTTTATGTCTCATCTGAGAGGGACATCTAGTTCTCAGGTCCACCTGATTAGTGCCATACATGATTATGGGCCCAGTCTTCAACCTTCTGAGAGAACACAGGAAATCTAGAATTTTGCTTGCTGTTTCTTGATTTTTTAAAATACTGACAAATAATTAAGACAATTAAAAATAACTTCATGTGGCCCAACCAAACCTAATCCTGTCAGTAGTTGTAGCTTGCTCTCCAGTTTTGGACCTTTGTTACAGCTCAGAAGGAATAAATTTTATGACTGGGGAAAAAAAGACTTAAAGCAATTTTGCCGATAGTTTAGAATTTCAAACCCAGGAGGACTTGGGAAAAATACCAAGTTTAATGAATATAGTAGATAAGTTTAATAGCTTTTAAATACAGAAGGGCAAATTGAACTGGTACTTACTAACATTTTAACTGTGGAAATAACTGAAGGAAAAAATCTCTCAGTATTTGTGGTTTAGTAACTCATGGTCCTAAGCAAAGATGATCTATAAGTATCTTGTAAGGAAATCTATCTATTGAGAAGCCCTTTATTGTACTTGGAATTTATATGTAAAATTAAATCCAGGAGACCCTCTACATCTCATCTATGGGTTTGAATGTTTACTGTTTGCTTTACCATCCCACATTATCTTCCCAGTCATTGACTTTCACTAGAAGCAATATTGATTCCTTGGATTTTATTCCCTGGAAGATGGAGCTTTAGGATGGAAAGAAATCGATAGGGAAAATGTGATGTGTAGCAAACATTCATGTGCCTCTTGCTTACACCGTCCATTAAAAGATTGATTTTAATTAAGTAGATTTTCTCATAAGAAGATAGATATTTTGATTGATTAAACCCAGTACCTCATATATGGTAGAGCTTAATGATATTTGTAGAAGTGAATCCTGTGGATTAAACCACATTTACTATTAGTATGAAGTACTTTAATCACATAATCATATTCATACTTAGTTGAACTCTGTAAAATGGAAATTTAGAAGTCAGATCTAAGAAAGAAGTGGACCATAGGCAGATAGAGGGCAAAGTGTGGGTCTTCGATTGGAGTAAGGAGGATTAGGTGAGGGTAGGAGAAGGGATTGAGTATGCTTTTGCTCAGTGCCTTTTGGTTCTATTTTTGGAGCTCCTAATTCTTAGGACATACATTCTCTACTTTGTCTGGTAGGTTTATCTAAGCAGGCTGGACCTTATGAGGGAGAAGGAAATGGAACGTCTATAGTTTTGAGTAAGTTTCATTTACTTGAAGTAATAAGCCACTGGTTTCAGCTATATTTTTATCTTCATCTGTCTGATTTCTTTATACTTGACTCTTGAACAACACAGGTTTGAATTGCGAGGGTCCACTTATAGATGGATTTACTTTCAATAAATATATTGAAAAGTATTTTGGAGATTTGTGACAATTTTTTCCTCACTGGTTTATTGTAAGAATACAGAATAAAAATATACCATACAAAATGTGTATTAATTGACTGTTTTATCACTTAAGGCTTCTGGTCAACAGTAGGCTATTAGTAGGGAAGTTTTTGGGGGGTCAAAAGTTGTATGCAGATTTTCCACTGTGCCAGGGGTTAGCGCCCCTAACCACTGCGTTGTTCAAGGGTCAGCTGTATTTTGTTTCTTTGTTGGATATGAACCCACAGTAATGGAGGAAGAGAGAGTCATAGATGTTTATTAATGGAGGAAGAACTGTCTAAAATTTTTTTCTCCTCTTGGATACAATATTTATTGGAATTCAAGTTAATACTGCATTTCCCTTATAATGGCTTGCTCTGGTTTACTTTGGTATTTGAAATTGAGACCTACCTTGTTAAGCAGGTAGCAATTTAGAACTAAGAGATAGAAGGTAAGCAATATAATTCAGAGATATTCTCTGGGAGAGGATTAAGAGGTTGCTAAGTGTAAGTTATAGGCAGTAGGAATACAATAAGCTGAGAACTTGAAATAGTAGAAACTTGAACATATAAGAGGAAAGATTTTATATGGAATATGTAGATTCCTGAAGATTAGTAAGATACTAAAAGGTTTCTTTGCCAATAAAAGCATCTTTATCCTTAATAGTTTAATTATATTATTCTGTTTAAAAATGTAAGATATCTGATTACATAGTACTTATTTTTGTCTTTGTAGTTGAAATGAGTGTCTAGTACTTTTGGTCACAAACTGCAATTAACATTTAGTATTTAGTTGGGGGTGAGTCTGTCACAGTGTATCACTCACTGATTGAAATACTTGATTAGAAACTATGAATAACACTTTTCTAAGGTCAAAATTGTAATCATACTTTTCTGCTTGGAATACTTTATTTAGGATCACATAAAAGTCACTTAACCCCTCTAAGCCATTGTTTCCTCACATGAAAAATGGAGATAGAATACTATTTATTGTCAGGAGTTTAAGAATGTAATAAAATAAAATATATCAAGGTGTTTCATAAATAGTAAAGTGAATGCAGCTGGTTAGCTCTTTGTTTGTTATGTTCAGAAAATAGCGCAGTTGTCAGTGATCTTGGAAGACATCCATCAGGTAAATTTACATTCATATCTACTTGTCTCATTTTGAAGGAACAAATTAAAAATGGCTACTTACAACCTTGCCAATGGGACTCTTCCACTGGAAATTACAGAGATTTTTTTCTTTTGCTTTATTCTAGTCAACATTGAACAACAGGAAGCTCTTTTTCTTGCTTTTTATGTTGGCATCCATTGACTGATAGCATAGTTTCTATGTAATTTGAATGCCAGGTGGAATAGTAGAGAAACTGAAAGGGAGAATATATTGGAGAGAGAGATGATGTGGCATTTAAAAAATCATCTATTGGGGTACTGTTATCTACTTTTAAGAAATACAACCTTTTTATTTTTTTAATTTAGATTATTTCCCTTTAAGATCTTTGACTGTCATTGCTAATAGCAGATGAGTAGAAAATTAACTTGAGTCTTCTATTTGTAGACTACATTAAATGTCAGCTTAAAAATAAATTTTAAAGCTCACTTTGGGAAGAATCTTAGAAGCAAATTATGTAAAGTGTTTTTATAATTTTCTTACTCTTGGATGGTCTTACAAATAGTGCTGAATTCTTTTAAAGGTAATTATTTCCTTTAGGACAGTTTGCTTTATACAACGCAGGATTGAGTTTGATTTTTCTCACATCTAGAGAGCATACAACACAATCTGTTCTGTCCTTTTGGCTCTTCATTTGTTAGAGTTTTCTTAAAGAAGTTTCTATAACATGGGTAACTGTGGGAAACTATTGTTTCCTTCTTGTTGAATATTCCAAATTGCCTGAGTTTCTCTTTTAAAAGAGAATACTTAGTTATTAGAGACTAGTGGAATTATAAATACTTAAAGTACTTTAAAATTAATTGATTTGATAAAAGTCGTTGGCTGGTAGTGGGAAAGCTGAGACTAGAATACCAGTCTCCCAGCCTCCTGATTCTGAGTGGTTTATTCCAGTGATTTCCCTATTGGGTTGCATGTACTCCTAGAAATGCATCGAAAATAATAGAACTAACATTAATATTTGTTTTTTTACTCTATTCCTTTTCATTTCCATTTTTGTATTTATGTAGTATATATATAGTTCTTGTGTAACAGTATATTTACATTATTTATATACATATATATGTGTAACTGTTCAAGTTGAACTCAAAACACACTAAGAAGGGGAAAGTCATATTTTAGAAGAAAAGTGGTATGACATCTTAATGTCTTTGTTTCCTTTGTGAATGGTTTTAATAGTAACTTTGAAGACTTGCTAGCTTTGAAATTGTTTTACAATGTATACTTTGAAAAATTACTTATAAAAGTAAATTTTTTGAAATAATTTCTGATCATAAAAGTGAAATGCACTGCACTCAATTTGGAACATTTAGCAAAGAGGGAAGAAGAAAATGGCATTATAATCCCATTACCTACGATAATTACTTTCAATCGCAAACACATGCACAAATGCAATTGAAATCACTTTGTATGTAATGACTTATAGTTTTTGTTTTGAGAAATTAAAAGAAAATTTGAATGAATTAACAGGTACATAACTAGATTTAAAAATAGGCATTCCATCCATCTTCCCTTCCCTACCTCCTCCTTCTTCCTTTCACTGTAAATGCTTTGATAGACATATTTCTTAGGATAAAATTTTAAAAATAAGGGCTCTGGGTTAAGGTGTATAATGCTGTCCAAGTTCTATAATTTATATTATAAAACTCCCAAAAGCTTGAGTAGCCATTTTCCTTATACTTCAGCCATCACTGGTTATCATTAAAACAAACAAACCAACAATTCTTTGTAACAATTTGATATGTTAAACATCTCAGATTTAACATGGGTTTTTTACGTTACTAATGAAGTTGAGTATTTCTTCTTTTCCCCTCTTTTGGGCACTAGTGTTTTTGTAAATTGCTATAAATTTTATGAGCTTTGTCCATTTTTCCATCATAGTATTCAGATTTTTTAATATGGATTTAATAAATGTATCTTATCTAAGATTTTAATAGTTGTAAAAAATGTTAGAGTTTTTTGTCTTTTTTTTATTTGAATTTTTATGTAGTCTAATCTATGCTTTCTGAAAGCTGGTCTGCAGTCCTAATTCTGATTCCTCATGAAGTTTTTACTCATCTTAATTGAGAATGTTAGCACATTCCTGTTTCTTATACTAGCTGTCTTCGCCTTCATGGTGTTTTTCTTTATATTTTATGGTTTTATGTTCTTTGAATTTTTCTTAATGTGTAATTTGGGAGGGATAAAATGTGAGGAAGGAAAGGATCTTCTCAAATAGTTAACCAATTAATTTTTAGAACCTGTTTATCTGATCTTGAATCTGTCACCTAGCTAGTCATCTCTTGGTGATTTGAAAAGCTACAACTGACACTTCCTATTTTCTAGGTATAGCATTTTAATGGGTTGTATATTAAATGTGAGAGACAATATAGTAAGGTGGAAAAATTACTTAATTTAATTATAGAGATGTGTACCTGAGTCCTAGCTTATTTATTAGCTATATGACATTAGGCAAATAACATACCTTTAAACCAGTTTCTCAAAATTTTAAGACACTCTTATCTTGTAGGATTGATATGTGGGTTAACATAGATAATGTACATGAAAAGTCAGCTTAACAAAGGCTTCCTGAATTAGATACTAGCATCTGGCCCCTGTGCTCCCATCCTGCTTGAAAAATATCACTGAATAGTTTGCTCTAGTTCACTTGGTGCTGAGGTATATCTCTAATCTGCTACTTGTTTGATAACCTTACCAAAGGAAGAGAGCTTGACTTTACTCTTCAGAAACCCATTCTGATATGTATTGGTCATTATTTACTATTTCAGATGAAGGTATTTAATAAGAAATGATTCAATTTGTTAACATCCAAAATATGTAAAGAACTCCTATGACTCAACACCAAAAAATCCCAAATAACCTGACTTAAAAATGGGCAGAGGACCTAAATAGACATTTTTCCAAAGAAGAAATACAGATGGCCAACAGGCATATGAAAAGATGCTCCACATCTTTAATCATCAGGGATATGCAAGTCAAACCATAATGAGGTATCAACTCAAAACAGTCAGAGTGGCCACTATCCAAAAGATAAGAAATAACAAGTGTTGACGAGGATGTGGAGGGAAGGGGACCCTTCTATACTGTTGGTGGGAATGTATGTAAATAGGCATAGCCACTACAGAAAGCACTATGGATGCTTCTCAAAAAACTAAAAATAGAAATACCATATGACCCAGTAACCCTACTTCTAGGAATTTACTTGAAGAAAAAGAAATCTCTGATTTGAAAAGCTGTGTGCACCCCTGTTTATTGCTGCATTATTTTCAAAAGCCAAGATATGGAAGCAACCAGAGTGTCGACCAGTAGATGAATGGATAAAGATGTGGTATATATACACAGTAGAATAGTATTCAGCCATGAAAAAGAAATCCTGCCATTTGTGAGGTGGATGGACCTAGAGGGTATTATGCCAAGTGAAATAAGTTAGGCAGAGAAAGACTAATACCGTATGATTTAATTTACTTGTGGAATCTAAAAACAAAACAAAATGAAAAAAATACCAGTAGACTCATAGACACTAAGAAGTGACTGGTGGTTACCATGGGGGAGGTTTGGGTGGGTAGGTGGGGTAGGTGAGGGAGATAAAGGTGCACTAAAATTCTCAATAATAATAAATTTGTTCACAGGATGGTAGTACAGCATGGAAAATATAGCCAATGA